TCCATCTTTTCCCCTGCTGCTACTGCGACTACCACCACAGATACAACCACCACCGCCAACGCCACCACTCACACGGCTGATTCTGCAACGGCCCCTCCTAGTGACGACACATGCTCATTGGCGCAGTCGCAGACGAGCACAAACTACAGTTCTCGCCAGGAGTACATGGACAGTTTGGTCCCGCCGTCCCAAGATCAATTTGAAAAGATTGCAGAGGTACAGCGCACGCGCGAGGAGGAGCTAAAGAGGAATAAGTCGAAGCGCCAGACCCAGCACCTCCACGACCATTTTCATAACATCCGGGGCTCGCAGGACGGACAAGGTGACGCTGCTAGGGACATTCCCGACGAAGCGCAAATAATGTCGCAAGATCCCCCACCAGCATCAGCCAAAGAGGGTGAACAGAGTGACAGCGAGGCGATCAACAGGGCCGCGGCGCTGATCCAGCGCAACTACCGGGGTTATCGCGTGCGGAGAGAGATGCAGGGCATGGGGCTGAACGCATCGACGAGATGGGTCTCGGCCATTGACGAGCTGCAGTTCCGCGAGCTGAACCGGCCGCGCGCAAAGAGCTCCGTCGGCGCTGCTGCTTTGTCTCCCACCGGCGACAGACACAGCGTGCTTTCGAGAGATGAGGAGGGCGGCATGAGTCGTCCGTCGACAGCCCGTGAGAACTGGAGGAAGGCGGCGACGATTGCGCGCCGCGCTGGGCACGACGACGTCGAGTCGGACTCAGACTCGTCTGCATCCTCGTCTGAATCAGAGGACACGCCCGAGAAGAGGGCCGAGAAAAAGAAGAAGCGCGAGGAGGCCGTGGCGAGGCGGAAGAAGGATTCTAAGATGATGGGGTTGCAGTATTTTCTGGAGATGGTTGACCTCAAGCATCGCTACGGGAGTAACTTGCGTGTGTACCACGAGGAATGGAAAAAGTCCGACACGACGGAGAACTTTTTCTACTGGCTCGATTACGGCGGCGGCAAGAATGTCGAAATGGAGGCGTGTCCCCGCGATCGTCTCGAGAGGGAACAGGTGCGCTATCTGTCCCGTGAGGAGCGGCAATTCTACCTGGTGCAAGTCGACGACGAGGGACGACTATGCTGGGCCAAGAACGGCGCGCGCATTGACACGACCGAGGCATTCAAGGACAGCATCCACGGCATCGTGCCCGCAGACGACCCGACGCCTGCGTGGTCGCAGAACAACACCCCGCAAACATCACCCGGAGCCGAAGCCGCCGACGACAGCCGCTCCGAATCCTCGGTAGAATCAGCACTGGAAGCAGATCGGGCGGCAAAGTACGCCACGCCCGAGGTCGACGGCGCAACGGGCATGAAGAAGGTATCGCACATCTCAGCAGCGACAATCTTCAACAAGATGCTGCGCAAGTCGGTCAAGAAGAACACGTGGATCTTTGTCGCGGACACCAGCTTCCGCCTGTACGTGGGCATCAAGTCGTCGGGCGCGTTCCAGCACTCGAGCTTCCTGCAGGGCAGCCGCATCTCCTCGGCGGGCCTCATCAAGATCAAGGACGGGCGGCTGTCGAGCCTGTCGCCGCTCAGCGGGCACTACCGCCCTCCGGCGTCCAACTTCCGCGCCTTTGTCAAGAACCTCAAGGAGGCCAGCGTCGACACGTCGCACGTGTCGATATCGAAATCCTACGCCGTGCTCGTCGGGCTCGAGGTCTACGTCAAATCGCGGCAAAAGGGCAAGAAGGCGATAGAGAAGATGACGCACAAGAAGGAGAAGATTATGGAGCCGGAAGAGTTCCGGAAGCGCGAGGAAGAGGCCAAGGATAAGAGCGAGAGCGCGGCCAAGGAGCGGAAAGTGCTCGAGAAGGAGGCCGAGGAGAGGGAGGAGAACAAGGCTGCGGTTAAGTTGCTGCGGAAGCTGAATCTGGCGCCGCAGGTGCCGGCGGGCCAAAGGAGTGGTGAGAGTGAGGAGGAGGGGAGGGAGGAGCCTGTGATGGAGACTTTGGCGGAGGAGAGGACGAGGGAGGACACAGCTGCAACTTCTTCTGCTGCTGTTGCTCATCCCACCACTTCATCTGCAAGGGCGTAGGTCGCTTCGACTTGTCTCTGGATTTGGCGTGGCGGGTAATAGATGATGATGGGCTTTCGATCCCTAGACATGATGGGCTGATTGGATTCGGGGTTGGGTTGGGTTGTGGTCTTTTTTGCTTCAAGAGTTCTTTATACCCCCCTTGCACGGCCTTGCTTTGGAAATCGGAGCGTTTGGAACGAGAGGTAGATGACAATGTCTAATGAGTACTCCATGATTGACGAAGTACCGTTTCTCTCAGCATTTGCCTCAGTATTATGACATGGTCTTTTGATGAGTGAGTATCCTTTCATCCACATCTCACCACTGAGCCGAACGTATATATATATAGCGCCTCTTCACGTACGAGACGAAATTTCTTCAGCCGCAATGTATTCCAAGCAATGTTGCCGTTCCAGGCTTCAAAGGCACTGGTGCTGCATTCTATATTGCGGATCTCAGAGATCTTGTCGCTCCGGTCGCGGAGGCATGTACCCCTTTGTGTTTCCCTAGAACCTCTTAGTCAGTCTCAAAGGTGATTACTACTACGTCGGGTTATCAATAGTTCGCCTCGTTAACGTATTCGTTGACGGATATATTTAGTCTAAACGAGAGCGCAGAACTATAGTACTTCTTCATTAGCTTCTTACATCGTAAGTATCTTTACTAATGAATACGCACAGTACGAGCAAGGGTACAGAGGCCACAATATTTCTTTATTAGTTTCCTACCTCGTAATCTTATTTGTAAAGGAATATGCATAGTACGAACAAGGATGTAGAAACTTTTATACCTGTTTATTTATTTTTAATCTCATAAACCTATCTACGTTATTAAGTAGTATACTTGGTATCGAAGAGGGCTTGGAAACTGCCTTGTTTCTTGATTTATGCTTTGCTCCGTGAGCGTCTCTGTTACTAAGTCCTTTTTCTTTTAACTCGGACACGGAGCGAATACCAGGAGCTTTGGAGGAAGAGATGTGTTACAAAACGGTTTGCAACCCACTTGAGGTAAGGCCCGGTAGCAAATCCCATTCCCGCAGATCATGTTGGGGTCGTCCCCTGGTCTCCACGGCCCAACAGCGGCGCTAGCTAGACAAGTTTCATCCTCCTCTTGTATCTTTTCATATTCTTGGTAGCCTTGAGCGAGGCTTTCTTGTTCTTTGGTGGTTGTATGCATCATAACCAGCAGGTTATCAACATGCGGTTTACATTTTTGGTCTTTCACTTGTCGGTTAACGTAAGCAATTTTGCTCATTCTTTTCCAGATCATCCTTCAAGCACATTATGAGGCTGACTGTATGGCTCTTCAGAGCTCAAGATGGTTCTACCAGAAGAGTTTGCGACTTACATAGCTCCTGAGCTGTCAGACCGAGTCGTTGAGACATGGCATGTTCCAACAGGTGGCGTAGGCCGCCGTTGAGCTATGCTACCGTATTCAGCATTCAGATGGTCTTTTGAGTTTAGTCGAAAGCTGAGATGATGTAATCGTATGCAAAGATATGTATGTCCCTTGATGTCCGATACCATTATCGAGGCAACGAGGCTGAAGACTGTTGATCGGCCGATCCACTCCATTGCATTTGAGCAAAAGCCCTGCCAAGTTTCAACAGTTGTGAGAGTTCGTGCCTATATCAACGATACGACTGAACCTAAAAAGAAATTTCATTGAGCCCGGTTTTCCCCTGGACTATTAATATTTGCCGGTTACTCCTGCTCTTAGCATGCCTTCTTTTCAACTTGGATTCGATCTATAGCCTCAGTATGACAACCTCCACCTTATTGGCCTCTTTTTGAACCAGCCAAGATGGCCGACGAGCCTCCCACTCGGCCTCGAAGCCGCTTGTGGGAGCGAGCCATTGCCTTCGAAAGCCATTGCGTCAGGAAGCTGACGGGGCCCAAGAAACAATCTACCAAGGCCTACCTTCTCGAAATTTCGCTTGAATTACTGGAAGAGATCATCAGCCATCTTGATCTTCTGAGCCAGTTCATGTTCTCGCGGACCTGTCGCGCCGGTCGGATCCTCACACAAAGAAACTGGAAAGACGCCTCGCTAGCGCTACCCGAGTCTGAGCAAATATCGTTCTGGGCCGCGGTGGCATACAAACTGCCGAATCACTGGGTCTGCGCGCGCTGTTGCGCACTCCACGAGACGGACCGTTCCGACACGCCTCAAAGCCAACAATCACCGCCATGCCAGCAGGGAGAGACCCTCGATACCCTCGGCCGATCCTACAAGCTAAGACACACCCACATCGAGCTCGCGCTCAAGTTCAGGCGCCTGGGCACCAACACGGCCTACCTCTCTGAGCTCCTGGAACCTTGCGAATACAGAGCGTACCGAGGAGCTGGATCTTGGAAGTCGGGCTCACCAAATGTAACTATTCACATGCCGAGAATCGTCGAGGGCAGATTTTGTCTACAAGTCATCAAGGAGTTCCACGGGTACGCATTTCTCCATGAGATTCGCTCCTTTAGAATCTGCCGACACCAGCTGTTCCCTTGGTGGTATTGGGGAATCAGGGACTGGGGCGCGTTTGAGAAGAACATGGAGGCGGCGTGGCATCATCCGGGAAACGTGTACGATGGGCATTGCCAGTGTTGTCCGGTCGACTACTCGATTCTGCGCGACGAGGATGTGCTACGCGTGACGTTGTGGTATGACTTTGGCACGGGCAAATCCCCTAGGGACTTGGAGTGGATGGTACACCTTGGCGACGAGACGGATATCTACAGCAACGGTCTTTACGTCAACGTCAAAGACCACGACCCTGGAAGCATCCGGAAGTCGTTTCAACAGAGCTCGTTCAATCATATGGCGCGAGGTTTGCTACGTGGTATCACACTCCGTTCACGGAAGTTGTGTAGGACGGCACGCGAGGTTATGATGGCACACAAGCTGGTATAAACTCGATAAAGTTTCGGCCCTTACAGGAATAGAGCTCCATTCTGCACTATCCTCGCTGAAGCCATCGTACATACTAATTTCCCAATACCTTGAGTCAATACATGTATTGCTTCTTACTGAATTGTACCGTGGCCTTCGACAAAGCTCTCCTCCTTCGACGCGGAAGTTGCATTCGCAGACGCAGCCACACTATTCCCAGACTTCTTATAGTACGGTCTGGGAAGATTGTCGTAATATGGTACGACAATGATGTTGGGATCACTACTTCCTCCGACCTAGACGCCGTGTGAGCCTCATATCCATCAAGTCAAGGGAGAAGACAGGACAAAAACTCACCATGGCCTTCGTAGTATTCTGATACGGCACATCAGAAACCTTCAAATTCAGCAACGAAGGCTGCCTCGCGCTCGTCAAGGTCCTCACCGCAACCTTGACAGACTCCAACGTCTTGGGCCCGTTGCTGGCGCCATTCTCCTTGACGACGTCCACTACCGCCCCGTCACACCCGAACCCTTGCGCGACGATCTCGTACTTGACCTTTGGGTTCATCGCCACGCACGGCCGCTGCGGCGTCTTCTCCCCGTAAATCAGGTTCTGTCCGGCTTGCGACATACCCCAGACGCTGTTGTTAACCACGACTGTGAGGATGTTGAGGCCAAACTTGGCGTAGGTGTCGAGCTCGCCAATGTGGAAGCCCGCGCTGCCGTCTCCGTGGAGGTTGACGACTAGCTTATCTGGCGCGGCGACAGCGGCACCTTTCCAAGAGTCAGCAATGGTGCTTCCACAAGTAGAAATGAGCCACAAACCAAGCGAGTATCCAAAACCGTTGCCCAGGAAGCCTAGATATCCAGTCGTCACCATCGACAGTCCCGCTCTCGCCTCGTTTAGAGACTGCAGAGCCCATCCGCCGCACTCGCCGCCGTCCATGCACAGAATGCTGTCTTCGGGCAGAGATTGAAAGAAGGCCTTTACGCCATGGTAGGGATGCATCCGGTCGTTTTCCTCAATGATCACTGGGTCGTCTTCGTTTCCAGCCGAGTGAATGCTTGGCTTCTTTAACACCATGGCCTTATCCACCCACTCGCTGCTCGCCTTAGCAGACGACTTGGATGCCGCAGCTGTGAGAGCCTGAGCTGCAAGCCCGACATCCGATACGATACCGACCTGTGTTCAATCTAGTCAGCATTGCCGGTCCCCACCCCATGAAGGCATATATCGGGCGGGGAAAGTATCTCACATCGATCTTTCTCGAGCGCCCAATCTCGCTCCCGTCCAGGTCAACCTGCACAACCTTGGCTTCACTCTCGTTCGGCACAATCGCACCGCTCCTACCGCCTACCAAGAAGCCAGTCCTGGCCCCCAGCAGAAGAACAAAATCCGGAGCCGGGCCCTGAGCTCGCAAGAACGGAAGCCGAGTCGCCACACCGCCGAAGAGAGGATGCGAGCGCTTGATGGTCGTAGAGAACTTGGGCGAGTGGAAGATCGGAGTATTCGTCGCTTCCGCAAGCTTCACTACCTCGTCCGCGGCCCTCGCTGCACCGGTCGAGACTAGAATCACGGGGCGCTTTGCCTCTCCCCAGAGTCTCATCGCCTGCTCGACCGCGCCGGCATTAGGGGCGGGAAGCGATACCGGCGGAGCCGTGATAGACCCCCAAGCCACGCTGCCGATCTCTACCGGCGTGAAGAGTACATCAATAGGGAAATCCACGAGTACCGGCCCAGGCGCCCCCGCCGTCGTCGCTCTCCAAGCCAAGCTCACGATGCGCGGGATTTCGCTGCCGTTAGTAACCCTATGCGCAAACTTCGTCACGGGCTTCGCCAGGACGACCTGGTCGTGAAAGCCCTGAAGGGTGTTCGTCTCCGCGTCGCGCAATGGCGGCGAGCTCGTGATGCAGAACACCGGGGAGCGGTCCGCAAAGGCGGTGCTAAGACCGGGCAGGCCGTTGCAGAAGCCAGAGTTAGCCGTGATGAAGCATACGCCAGGAGCATCGTTGCCCTTGACCTTGGCCCAGCCTTCGGCGGCTTGGACGGCGACGGTCTCGTGCCGCACGTCTATGAGCTTGATGTCGGCTTCAACGGCGGCGATGAGGAAGCTGTCTAGGTGCCCGCCTGTGGGATGGTGTTAGTCTAATGAAGCGGTATGATTCTTGCATATAGAATCTCACCATGGATACCGAATGCAGTTGTCGCGCCCAGATGAGCTAGAGACTGAGCGAGAAGGTCTCCGCCGAGAAGTTCTCGATTCTTGGGCTGTCTCACTTGGAAAGCCATTGCTTACATGAATTCTTGAGATAGTTTGGAGCCCGTGATTACAAATGGTGAGATTGAGCTGTCTTTTGATGAAAATGTGATGAGGTCAAGTTGAATATTATCCTCCATCGCAACAATTTGCTCCAATGAGCATCCGACCGAGCACTTATAAGCAATAGACCTCTAAATGCCGAGTGCCTAAGCAATGATGAAGCGGGGGACCGCGGGAAGAGCGTGAGGGGGGATTCATTGCTTGGCCCCGAGGTAAGTTGTACGTACATGTATCAAACAATGGCAATGGCAAATGGGAGGAGTTGTGGAAATGATTACCCGTCGCCCCAAGGTAAACCTTGTATTTTGTAAATGTTTTGCGACATTGACTCTGATGGGTTGAGTCAATAATTGGGGTAACGACCGACACCAGATGTTTGGAGGTCGGGCGAAGCGATCCTTGCATTGAGACGCACTTACACGCACCCGGGGTATTAAAGGCTCCCTCTTCTCAGTCATCGTTGCCAAAAGCCCACAGCGACCAACTTAATAGAAATCTGCGTCTGTGTTCATGATGTTGTTTCTACAATTGTCTTCAGGCATGGTGCGTTAAGATGGGTCTTCGGTCACAAGAAGGCAAAGGCAAGGACAGCTTTAATTCATTTGACTGATTTGATAGGGACTATGAAAGTCTTGCGAGAGCTCTAGTATGTAACCTCAACCTAAAAACTAGAAAATTCTATGATGCCCATTACCCCTAAGCTACATGATGTTGATGTAAAATGTATCTAATTAATGAAAGAAACTGGCTATGCGGTAGAGTCATTTACTGTAAAGTGGCGGAGTGATTGGCTTCTCCTGAAGCACTTCTGTTGTGGCTTAGGCCTTCTTCTTGCCCTTGGGCATGCGGACCAGCCAGTAGAGACCCAAAGCAGCGACAATGTTGACGACAATGTACACCATGCCGATACCAAAATCGCGCCATCTGTTGTCGAAGTTAGAGCTGATACCCTTGAGGAAGACGTTGGTGTCGGCGATAGAGCAGAATTGGCAGTCAGCCGTGGCAGATGGGTCCTTGATATAGCCTCCCATGGAACCGATGTACCCTTCCATGTAAGTCTCGCAAGTCTGGTTGTTTGGCGGGTCGAAGTGGATGTACTCGTTCGTCGAGCACGTCACCTTGGAGTTTGCCAGACCTGTTGAGAGAATTGATGACAATAGGTAGGTGAACGGTGACACCCTGTACATGAAGATCCAGAAGCCAGGCATGGCGTCAGGGCTGGCCAAGACACCACAGAACAGCAGACACATCATGAACAAAACGTTGGCGAGGTTACCACCCATCTCAGCAGTGTCCGTGATGGCGATGCAGGCATGGGCGAAAGTGCAGGTGAAGATCATGAACTGCCAGAACAGGAGCCACATGAGACCAGCGCGCTCACTCTTCTGGCTCGGGTCACCGTTCTCGTAGAGACCGACGGGGTAGTAGACGCAGATGAACATGAAGACGGACATGAGAGAGTTCCACGGGATCTCGGTAACAATTTGCGACATCATGAACACCTTCCAGCTGTAAGTCTTGGAAGGTCTTTCACGGACTTCATAAAGAGAGCGTTGGGTGACGAAGTGCGGCATCTGTTGTTGTACGAGCTGACCGAAGATGGAAAGAATGTTGAAGATGGCGAACATCTGGTTCTGCAAGCCCTGGATACTGAGAGGTGCGTTGAGGAAGACCAGACCGATGAAGAGAGCAACGGAGCAGCAGAGAATGAACTTGGCGTACAGGTAAGAAGGAGTACGCCAGTACTGCTGGTAGACACGGCGGGTGACAATCAGGAACTGATCCCATAACGGAGCGGCGAATTCGCGGTGTGCCAACTTCTCCTCCTCGGCGGACAAGTGCTCTTGAGGCGGGCTCTGAGTCTTGAGGCGGCCAAGTTCCTCTTGAACAGCCTCATACTCGGGACTAGACTTCCAGGCCTGGTGCCAATCGACATCGGTGTGTGATCCGGGGGCAGCGCCAATGGCAGAAAGCATCCATTCGGCCGGGTTCTCGCCAGGAGGGCAGGCAGGGGCACCGTTTCTCTCGAAGTAGGATGTAAGGGTGTGGGAGTTCTCGCCGATGTCGCCAAAGTACACGGTTCTACCACCCTTTGCCAGGAACAGCAGGCGGTCAAAGCGCTGGAACAACATAGCAGACGGCTGGTGAATAGTGCAAAGAATAGACTGGCCGGCCTTTGAGAGCTTCTCAAGCAGATCCAGGATAGCCCATGACGTTTGCGAATCCAAACCGGAGGTAGGTTCATCGACGAAAAGAAGCAAGGGGGGCTTAGCAGCCAGTTCAACACCAATGGTAAGTCGCTTGCGCTGTTCGACGTTCAATCCCTCGCCCAGGACACCCACAACGGCGTCGGCGTAGTCCTGCATGTCCAAAAGCTTGATGACTTCGTCGACGTATGCCAGTTTTTCAGCGCGAGGGGTGGTGGCCGGCTGGCGCAAAAGAGCACTGAACTCCAATGCCTCACGCACAGTGCTGGTCTCGAGATGCAGATCCTGTTGTTGAACGTAGCCAGTACGGCGTTGGAAGGACTGGTCACGGATCTTTCCATCAACCAGCATCTCTCCGGTAATCACTCCCATTGAGACACGGTCTGCCAGGCAATCAAGCAAGGTAGTCTTGCCAGCTCCAGAGACACCCATCAAAGCCGTAAGAGTTCCTGGTTTGACCCAGCCGTCCACGTGGTCCAAAATCCTGCGGGTTTCGGTCTTGATCTTGACATCGTAGCACACGTTACCCCAGTGAAAGACACTGGTAGAGCCTTGGATTGCACCCTCATTGGCGGAGGCGCCCTGTCCGCCCTTCTCGACGATGGTAGCGGGTCCAGAGAGAGAGGATTCGGGATCGTCTTTGCCCTTGACAGGGGCAGCGACACCACGGCGGAAGACAAGAACCTCTCCCTTGGACTTCTTTGCGGCAATGTATTCCGTGGCAACGAAGTACAAGGCGTGGAGGGCAATAATGAAAGCGATGAGAATTCCAATGTTGCGCCACTTGTGGGAGTTGAAATACTTGTACTGGGAGTTGATGTATCTGTCACCGTTGACGAACGGCTCGCCAGGAACGGCACCGACAGTGGAGCAGGCTCTGTTGGCCAGGGTGATGTTCTCGTAACCGGCAACTGCAGGGCTGGGGACGAAGGCGGCACACTCGAAGTTCCGGTTGTGGAACTCATTGATCATGAGCTTCAAAGTTAAAAGGTCAGTCGACGTTCACTAAGATTGCTGGGATTTCAACTTACCGATTCGAACCCGTACGCGACAGGGTCCAGGTAGTTGATCCATCGGCACCAGCCAAGCATGTAATCAACGGGAATGACGAATCCAGTGAAGATGACCAAAGCGAGAATCAAGATCGACGCGGGAACCATGGCCTGCGACAATGTGCGGGACAAGGAGGCACTGAATGGCGTTAGAGTCATTCTTGGTACGGGGCGAGACTGACTTACATAGATCTGAAAAGACCAGACATGGACAACACCATGAGGAATGTGGTTAACAGGAAAAAGAAGAAGTTGCCGGGTTCTCTGTTCAGGTTCGTCATGAAGTAGATTATCAGGTCGTAGCAGATGGTATTCGTGATTTTGTAGGGCATGTCTACCAAGACTGAGGAGAAGGCCTCCGCAGAGGAGTGGTAGAAGGCATAACGACGTTGCTTCTCAACGATGGGCCGTTGGGCGTACTGAGTGAGAATCTCGAGAGCACTAGAGAATGCATTGGCGAGAATGGCGACGAAGAGAACCGCGGATCGACTGTAGAAGGAGGACGTGTTTTCCGGGAGGTTGTAGAACAGAGAGGACATGATGAGAGCCGTGCACGAATTGGCAATCAGGGAGAACAGTGTCAGACTGGGGTCACCCTTAAGCAACTTGAAGCCACGCCAGAGGCAGAGTTTCACTTGTTGTCCGTACGAGAGGATGAAGGGAGACTTGAGACGTTGGTTCTTGGCTTGGACCGACTGCTTCTGGTTTCTGAAGACTTCGGCATCCGGGCCATCCAAAGGATGATCCGTCTTGTACTGCTCAATCTGCTGCTTGAGAGCCGCACACTCGCGACTCTCCTTCCAGCACGCAGCGAACTCATCGGGCGTCCGAGGTACGCGAGACTCCCAACCGGGACGGATTACACGCTCGGTAGGCGCCGTCATCGAAGTGAGGAAGTCAGGGGTAGTCTGACGGGCTGGGCACTCGAAGCCGAGGTTGATGAAGTACTGGCGGGCCTCGGTGGTGCGGCCGAAATAGATCTGACGTCCCTCGTAGAGAACAGCAACCTTATCGAACAGATCATAAGCACTCTGAGGCGCCTGGTAGATCGAGACGGCGCAGGTCTGGCCGAACAACTCAGACTGCAAACGAAGAGTCTTGCAGAATTCGACAGCGTTGGCGGAGTCGAGACCTCTGGTTGAGTTATCCCAGCACTGCAAAGGAGCATTGGACAGCGTCGCTTCGGCAATCGTTACACGCTTGCGCTCTCCACCAGAGACACCACGGACGTAGTTGTCGCCCACACGGGTATTAACGGTGTGGCTGATGCCGTACATGGCCATGACGACGTCGCGGAGGTGGTCGCAGTACTGGTTGGCGGTGACACCAGGGGGCAGGGTTCGTGGGCAGCGGGCACGGGACGCGAAGGTGAGGGTATCGCCCACGGAAAGTTGAGGGTAGTGGACATCGACTTCGGCAGTGTAGATGGCATCACCGGCGTGGTGCTTGTGGAGTTCCTTTGCCGAGAGACCCTGGTAGTTGAAGTAGGCGCGCTCATCGGTGTAAATGCCGCTCATCTCTCCAGCGATGGTCTTGAGGAAGGTAGAGCAGCCAGATCCTGGGGGTCCAAGAACGACGAGCATCTCGCCTGCCTCTACGATACCGTTGAAATCGCGGAGAATATCGATGCGGCGTTGGCCTCCGGTCTTCGAAGTGAGGTTGCGAACAAGACCAGGAATCTCGAGCCAAACGTTTCCGACGTCCTTCTGGTAATCCGTCTCTTGGCCGAATCCGAAGACGTTCAAGTCCTGGTAAACAAAACCAGCAGTTCTGTAGCCTGACCCATGCTCATTGGTGACATTGGCAAGAGTCTTTGCCCACTTGCGAGCGCTGAAGTTCTTTCCGTTCGGGTTGAGGGGCGAATTGGGGTCCTCGCTGCCGAACAATGCCATGCTGTCTCCATCGATGTTGACCGCGGAGTGTCGCGTGTACTCCCGCGCTAGTTCCTGAACGATCGACTGGCGACGTTCTAATTCTGTGTCGTTGCCGTCATCTTCTGATGTTGATGCAGCGGACCCATCGCCGACTTTCTCATACAGAGAGTTGTTATGAGGCTTCGAGGTCGGGAGTGCTTCCGCGTTTTGAGTGAAAATCGCATCGTGATCGACTACTGTCTTCTGACTGCCGGCCGGGGAACGGGTCGGCAGACGAGACTTCTCGTCTGAGTTGAAGGCGGACATATTGTCGGTTGATAAATTAAGGTATACGGGTGTCCTGAGACGGCTGGCTGATGGAGCGGTTGCAAGTATATCTTGCTATCCTATTATCACGAGAGGCTCTGTCAGTCAACAAGATCTCTATCACATCATGTGTGCGGAAGCCTACCGGTCAGCATCAACCAGTTGTTCGCTCGGCTTGTTGTGATAGCCGCTGAGTGAACAGTCCCAGTCAGGTGAAGAGAGGGAAAATATTATCTGAAGTTGTGAGTATGTAAAAGGGAGGAAAGCCCATGTAATAGCTTTCGGCTGAAGACTCAAATCATATCATGAAAATAAGCCTAGGTCTAGATTTATCAACATGTCAACGGAGTGTCTCGCTCCCCGTGTGCCCCCGGCCCATAATACGCAAGGGGTCGCAATACTCAACCGAAGCGCAGCCGGCATTCTCAGATGGGGCTCGGAGAACAAGGTCTCCTTCGACCCGAGCAAGTGCGAGGTCATCCACTTTACTAGGAAGCACAGCCAGCCAGCGGAGCTGCCAGAGGTCAGGGCGGGGGATTTGGTGGTCAAGGCCTCGACAAATCCTGTACGCTGGCTGGGTGTCTGGTTCGACAAGAGACTGTCCTTCCGGCACCACGTCGACACAAGAGTAGCTGCGGCAAAGAAGGCAGCTCAACACCTGAGGCAGCTTACAAACACAAAGAGAGGACTGCCAGCGGCCGCCGTGCGAAAAGCCGTCGTCTCCTACGTACTGCCGATCGCGCTCTTCGGCGCCGAAACATGGTACGCAGGTATCACGAAGCCGGCTTCGAGACGCCAAGCGGAGACAGACACGAGTCCGCCTTTCCAAGGAAGACCCGTCAACACAGGCCAGAAGGGGCTCGTGCAGAAGATCGACAGCGTCATTACAGCGGCAGCAAGGATCGTTCTACCTGTCTGGAGGACAACGCCAACCAGTAGCCTCCTCCGAGACGCCGGCTTACCGTCAGCCAAAGTCGCCTTAGAAGGCGTCCGTTTACGGGCCGCAGTCCGACTACAGAGGATTGATCGCCGACACCCGCTAGTCGCGCGGCTCTCCCAGCAGGGACAGCAACAGACGAGACTACAACGGACGGCTGAACTTCTGCCAAGATGCGGAAGACCAACGTTCCTCCAATCACAGTACCTGCCAAGCTCACAGGATCAGATAGTAGTTCAATGCAAAGAAGAGGCTGCGAAAGCTTTCGAGCGCTGGCTAAAGACAGTACCGGAAAGCCATATGATCGTCTTCTCGGACGGCTCCAGGGCGACGAACGGAGCCGTGGGGTACGGCTTCGTCATCTACCGAGACTCCAAACGCATAGCGCAAGGGTGCGGCCGACTCGGACTAGCAGAAGTGTTCGACGCCGAGGTCGAAGGGGCGCGAACCGGCCTCAGAAGGGCTCTGCTCACCAATCGCGGTCATCCAATCCACATATGTATCGACAACACCAGCGTTATACAAGGCATCCGCGGCAAGGCGCCGGACTCGTCACAAGACGCGTTCCTCGAAATCCAAGAAGCGGCCAGGATATTTGATATACGGACGCACTGGTCCCCGGGACACCAGGGCATCGAAGGAAACGAGGCCGCGGACCGGCTGGCCAAAGAAGGAACGACACTGCCGGCGCGGATGGGTCAAATGGCAACACTAGCGGGCATCAAGCGGCTTGCAAGGGAAAAATTACAAAGCCAGCACAGGAGATGGTGGTATAAAGAGCGAAGGCCGCGGTACGCGGACTTGGGGCTTGAGGCAGCTCTGTCCAGCCCTCCTGAACTGGCCTTGCCGCGGGCTACGTTACATCACCTGCTGGCGGCACGATCGGGTCACGGGGACTTCGAGCAATATCACCGACGTTTCAACCACGACGACGCTCTAATGATGTGCTCTTGTGGAGAGGCGAAAGACGTGGACCACCTGGTCTACTGTCGACTAACGCTGGCGAGGAGGCAACGGTGGCCGACCCTCCACTCTCGCAGTATGCCCGAGCCCATAGGTCCTATGGGATCTCTCGAGGCCTACTTCAAGAGATTAATCACCGACCCACGAGGCTTCGAGGCCTTTCTCCGCGTGACGGACTTCTTCCAGAAGATCTGTCTGCGGTAGCAGCATCCACACCTAGGTAGATGTGAGTGCGGACTACAAAGAACCTCCCGATTCCAAGGGACGATTTGGGAAAGAATGAAACTGGGGCACCAGCGGGAACCGGGGACAGACAGAACGCGTAGTGGCCACAAGGCATGATTTGGAGGACGATGTAAAGAGACGACGTACTGTAGAGTAGGTAGCCTTGGCTCACGGCCCTCCACGCCATATACCCTTCGGGAGGTCTGCGGTAAGGGCTCTAGCCCGGCCGCCACGGCGTTAAATACAACAACAACAACAACAACAACAACAAAAATACGCAAGGGGTCCATCTCAGCATCCGAAGGCTCAAAAGTCGATCCAGAGCCCCGGGTCATCCGTGCACAAGATATGCCACAATCTCACAAGTTGACGTAGAGACACGTTGGTTGAGCACTTGAGCTTGATTAGGGTATCCAAATTCTTGCATCTTGTCGTAGCCTGCAGCCGGCGTGTAAGTGAATAGTGTGGGTCGATGGCGGCGACTCCCTTGGCGGCGATCATCACGAAAAAGTCCGCAACATTGTTAGCAAGTCGGAGGTGTGGGGCAGTCTCCATTATACGGGCTTTCGGAAAGTTGAAGCGACCCGAGCGGGCGCCGTCGACCCCGTAGGCTTTTCCGAGAAGTCCAAATTCCCAACGTCTAAAGACAGCTTATGTCCAGACCAAAAAGACCATCCGTTCGTTTAATCTTTATTTTTTAGAACGTGTCACACCTTGTTTCCCCAGCTTCTCAGTCAGCCAAGGCCCCCTTTTTTGACTACATCAATCATCAAAGTTGGCAACACTACATAACAACAACATGGCCCGACCACTATGAGGCACAAGCACTGGCACAACACTCGAAACAGACGTCAAGACTATTCCTACCTCTTGGAACGAAGTGGGCTCCGATAAATCTTATAGATTCCTCCCCCATTCACCCTGTTCAACGTTACATCCACTTACACCGATTCTTCAGTCTGCCCTCAAGGACCATTGAACGACAAAGTTGGCCAGAACACACCAATCCGAAACGGGATGTACGTCACGTCTGGTGACATTCATGAGGCCGCGATTTTCACGGCATTGGAATTTAGTTGTGACGAAAGTGGCCAACTGTGCCGCCAAGGCGGACATTTGCTTGTTCGCAAGTGCTAGCTCCAGCTCTTCGGGGTCCGCTTGCAAGACCGCAGCCAGCACCCTACTCCATTTGTAAGCCGTGTTGCCGCTACGGACTGTGCATATGTGGAGTCTCCGGTGTTCTTGTTTGGGACACCCATCAGAAATAGTTGTTCACTCCAGGGGTCGTCCCGCCCGATCAAAGCTATCAATCTTGCGGTATCATGTATGGCTCATACTTAATCATATTAGGTTTGCCCCCTCCTTACGTCTCCATGAAAGTCTCTGCAACCAGGGTACGGGCCCAGGGGGCATTCGTCATTGCCACAAGCTAGCGGAGGAGGAAGCCCATAATCCCGAGGCATCGAAATAGCTTCATCTGCGGGCTGACTATGGCGGCAGGCGGCGCAGATCACAGCCCAACGGATCAAACCCACCACTAAGAGGCTGTCTCCAAACTCCCACCCACCGGCGGCAGAGCGGGAGTGGATACCAGCAGGGCCGGAAGCCCTTCGGTTGGTTCTTCGTCATATCCGCGGTTTCTAGAACCTGCCGTCTTGGTGTATGTGACGCTAGCATCACGGTGGCTGCGCCCTGGAGTGTTATCAGAGAAACCGAGATTCAGGAGACTGCAGGACTCCGTTACACGCCGCAACCCTGTCGGCCGCTTCCTTGCACCCGAGCCAGCGATGGAGTACGGATAGACGGTTCACGGGCGAGGCGGCGGCGTTGTACCGCGTAAGCGGGATTTACATCGCCAATCTCCTCGACCGAACGGTGTCCGACGCGGCATGTAACGCCAAGCCGTACAAACACGCTCACGCCAGATTCGCCAAAGATACGAGAACGCCTGCGAATCAGCCTCAGGGGAGGTTACACTCAACACCCTAAACAAGCAACAACATTGGAAGAATACTTGATAAGCTCGGATTCAACATCGCAGTTGCCAGTGACGCTGCCAGCTTCTTCGAGTCTTCTCTGGCAAATCAACGTCCCTTGTTCTGCAGCCCGGCATGACGCCCACAAACGCATAGTGCAACAATTTCCCCTACGGATACTTGCTACTTATCACGGATACAAGCCACCAAAGAATGTATCTATGAGAGCAGACTGTTTGTCCGGAGGAGGGCAGCTTGAATCAAAGAAGACAATCAATATGAGTTATGCATACCTCAAAAGCAAGCTAGGCCCCTGAGAAGAGGCCTGGTTGAGGTAGGTGGAGTCGATACGATAGACCATTGATTTGCCTTGCAGCACAAACAACCCGAGAGATTGTCTGTTGCGTCTTTGAGAGAAGCGGATATCTCTCCACGAACACCAATTGCCAAAGTCTGCCGCCTAGTTGGTCAACTTGACGGGGTTTCCAACCTCAGGCCAGGGTTTCCAAGCGAAAGGGGGAGACGACAATTGCTTGACAATTGCTGAGTGAGAACGGAGACGAGTTCTGAAACAAGTTCATAAAGTTGTTGAGAGACAAGAAGAGTAAGTTGCTACAATTGCGGAAGACTAAAGAGCAATTCCGGCGCATCTTAACTCTAAAACCTCCAAGTTGCGCCACCATCGGTGGTTTCCAGATGCTACCATATCATTATCACCTCCTTTTTTCAGCGCAACTTGAACTTTCGTTCCTTCCTCTCCCTTTTCGCCACTGATCAATTGCTCTTCTATGCATGAAGCCGTTGAGATAAGCATCTCCAACATAGCGGTAACCCTCGTCACTCCCTTCCTAACGGATGATGATAGGGGTAGAGCAACCAAACGGCACAATAATGGCATCACCGATAGCCATATAGCCTGAACCCATCCCGAGGCGACCTTCGCTTGTGACGTAGAAGCAACGTCCTCTTATACGGTCTCCAAAGTGGTCTTGGATAAACTGTCGTCGATCCTGTGGTCCAATCGATGTTATAGCATTGACGTATTTCTTAAGTTCCTGGTCAAGAGGGAGCTCAGGCAGACGTTCATGCAGCAACAATGTAAAGACGTGGTTGTAAGCCGTCACTCACTCGGGGGTTTTCATCTCTGGTGGTATTAAGAGCCCAGCTCCCGTGAGGCCACGTAGGGGTGGTTTCATTACATAGAATCTAATTTAAAGAATGAAAGATTTAAAGTAGGGCTTTTATAGAGAAAAACATTTAAACAGACCTTTGTAGAATCAATATAATGAATTATAGTTATGACAGTTTTACCGAGTTAATAAGAATACCGTGTTTAGTAGGTTGAGAAATTTGTTACTCCGAGGTGATTCGGGCCGACCTTCGATTGGTGAGCTTTTATCTCTAAAAGTAGTACAATAGCGTTGGGTGATCTAGGAAGCGTACCGGGTGCAACGCTCGTAGCCACACGGGAATTGGCTTTTTGTAAGACTCTCCTACCAAAAGCTGTGAAAAGAGTAGATAGATTACAATGTTCCTTTCACAGAACTGGTCGGTCTTCTACAGTCGGCCTGTGCTGGTCAGAAGGGGACAATATCACTCAGTGATAGTAGGAGATATTGCGACATGGTGGTAAACGCGACGAGGTTAGATAGACGAAGTAGAAGTCTTAGGAGCATGATTTGAAGGCAGAGAATAAATTTATTCATGTCTAGTGAGAACTGGTGCTTGCTCAGGGGGAACACGAAATATGACTCCGTGGAACATCATAACCTGCTAGCAGTGGGGACGATCACGAACGTAGGACGCTCCAAGTGAAAGTGTGGTCAAAATCACTGCATAGCCCGCCACCAGCACTTGAAAGCGGCACTACGGCCATGTCTGCAGAGTCAACTGGTCAAGAAGACCCGTGCTGGTGTCATCCCACCTTTCGCTCCTGTCACCAAGGCTGTTTGTGAACCAAACTACAACTGCAGTCTTTTGCGCTATGAACACTGTCTTATCTTCTAGGCTATTGCTTGACTCTCGACTCCTATCTCAGCTCAGTTGGCTCAGGTTAAGAGACCGGCTTCGCGGTAGATGAGGGTTCAGGTAGCCCAAAGTCCGGATCGATATCAGCCTCCGTTGGGTCGGTCTCACATTCGCCACTCTCTAGGGGCACGTTGGTGTATAGAGCGTCGCTGTACGCGGCATCAAGCGTGCCCTGGAAATTTGCATCGTTGAAGGGGACCTGCGTGTGCTCGTATTGAATTCCGTTTAGCTGTTGCTGTGCAAGCTGAGGCAGACGATGCCAGTCGATAAGTGGGTTATTCAAAGCGCCCGCCGCGCCCTCTCGAGAGGGCAACAGAGGCACTCCGCTGTCATATGCTACGATAGGGTTGGTTGCTGAACCACCATCGTTCAATTTGACAAAGATAGTATCGCTGTCTTTGCGTGTGACATCGAAGCTGTTCTGGGGGTTCTTAGAGTATGCAACACCAAGAGACTTGAAGTTGTAGATCAGATCGGGGCATCCGTCGATGCGAAGCCATACGACGGCAGTGATCCAGTGGTGTTTATGCTGCTGCTCTTTACCCATAACCTTGGGCAAGTACCAGCTGTAGATCACACCCCATCTCCCGTGAGACTTTCCAACTCTGGCGTAAACTTGACCGCTCTGCCCAAAGTCACGACAGTCGCCGCCCGCATTGCCGGTTGGTCTTAAGCCAGCACTGAAATATAACTATGTTAGCTTTGATACCGGAATCGAGTTCTCGTCTGAAAGGTTCACGTACCCAGCATTACCATTGGCGTCGACTGCAGGGTACGGGATGCATCCTGAGTACGAATGGAGCAGCGGTCTGAATGTAGTCTCGATCTCTCCGGTAAGATCATAGCCAGGTAGTTCCTCCAAAGCGACTATTTTGTTGTGACCCAACCATTTATCTTCGACTGCCACATCACCACCGCGCCTCCAGTAACTTGGCGGTGATTGAGAGGGCGTTGCTTTGGCGAAGCCGAGTAAGGACAGAACAAGGATAGAAGTCAACGATGCCATGGCGGACCCGGGCTGCGATGAGTTCTTTGGATAGACGGTGTTATTGTAATAGAAGCAATCTTCAAGTGGAAATACTATGACATTTATTTAAGCTAGAAGAAGTGCATGACCTGAGGCTGGAAGTTCTATACTACGTAAGCAAACAAGCTGCGGAGAAGTCGGACATGAGCGATATGAAAGTCCATATTGAGCAATAAAACTATACTATGGTCTGATAGGTAAGTTTGATTTCTGGCCGTGTATTTGCGGGCAGCAGTCTACCTGCCCGGGGGTTCGTGCAACTTGACTGGCTGAAGCACGGGCTCGTTGAAGTCGAAGTATCTCTGCTTAGATAATTGACTAAATGCGCCACAGATCTTTGACCTGGAAATGCCAAGCGTAAGAACAGCCGAATAAATCAGCTTCAGCAGGTTGAGTACACAGCGGCAATATCCGCACCTATATGTCAGAGACCCACACAGGACTGGCAAGCAACTAACCCTATCTAATTGAGTTTGCTACAGGTGTGAGAACAAATCCGCAATCAAGTATCCTTTCGTTCAGTCTTTCTCGTATCGCGCGAGGCACACAAGGGTCTACAAAGAGGTCTTTGACATTCTATGCTATTGACACGGAGCCGGATGAAAATGATAAAAGGTGCACTGCAGCCTCCTGGCCTATCGACTCCATCAGATAGTTCTACTCGTGTCCCGGGTTTTGTGCACCCGGCTATCGTTCGCTTTCTTACTATTTGTCTCGATTGGATATCCTTCTTTAAGTATACTGGCAACCAATCTAGACCAACATGAAGTTCCTACACATTCTCTCCTATTGCGTTATCGCGTCAGGCCTCGCCGTACCGAATACTGCGCCCGAAGCGGAGATCTCCGTCCGCGATCCACCTCAGACGGTCCCTGTACGCACCGACACCTTCAGCTCAGCCGGCATCTTCTCTCGAGACCAAAGCAAAGCTTGGAGGGAAGCAGAGAAGGTCGTAGGGAGGCCACTTCAGCACGGCAAAGTGTATTATTTCATGTCCTGCAACCCAGCGTATCGCAATCATTATTACACGCAGGATGTCTACTTGAAATATGTTGTAGATCAAACCGACTGCGTTCACGTTGGGTTGGTCATTGGCAAGACGTCCAAGTGGTTCAAGAAGTTTGAGGCCGAGTACCTGCATGTGAGAGTCGATGAGGACAACGCCCCGGACGAATGGTACCAATCGCGACACGACTGGGATGGCCCTATCATTGATCAACGGTTAGTGTCTACTATTCACGTTATCCTCTAGGCTGTATTCGTGCTTGTGCTGACTGGAACTTTGATAGCATTACCTTTGGCGGAATGACAGACTCGACCAGTATTAGCAAGCTGTGGAAAGCTGGTAGGTTTCTTTAGATCTCTTCTCTCGCTAAGGTTTACTAACTGAAATATAGGCAAGCAGTGGGTTAAAGATGCTGGTTCCCAGATGGACGCAGACTGGAATTGCCTGCAATATTACAGACATCTAGTCTCTCTTATTTGAGAGTAGATTTTTCATTGAGTTCACATGCAATTTGAGAAAGCGGACAACGGCTGTTCTATAGCATTCAATGATTCAATGAAGCTTGTTCAGAGATCCAGTCCTATTAGTCCTACTTCTCCCAATTTTTCATGGCCTGCTCAAAACGCGCCAACCACTCTTCCCTGGCTCGCACAAAATTGCTCTTTTCCTTTCCTTTCCTTTCCTTACTTTAGTCAAATATCCATTATCTCAATAAACATCCCCTCAACACCCGGGTATTGATTTCGACGCCACTCATTTCCATCAAATTGTCGTCTAACACAACTTTGGCCTTCTGGCTCAAAGATGCCGTAAACTTCGAGCTGAGGTTCATGGCGCCTATTGCCTTTGTCCCGGGACTTTGTGACCAGTCAGGGACCCAGAAAGGAAGGCTAGCGCTGTTTGCGTGCAGTAGGCAATGGATAGAGTCGCATATGACATCCAAATGTCCTGTGGTCGTTGCAATCAAGTCGACCATATTCGTATAAATTGACTTTACAGTCATGTCGCAGTGGACTCTGTCATTTCGTAGCGCTTCAGAGACCAGTCCCAAAGTTCCAAAAACTTTATCCTTTGGATCAGTTGTCCCTTTGTTCCTGCATGCTCTTGTCACTTCCAACAAAGAGCACTCGCCAAAGTTAAACCCGGTAAGGGATCGACTCTTAGGAAGACTCAAAGGGCCATGGTTTGCTGGGATCGCGGCGTAGGTGAAGTGATTCCGTAAAATTCGTGTATAGGTCTTTCCTTGTTCAGTATCAGACAGATAGCGGTTCAAAACCTTCTTTTGCTCCGGAAAACACTGGCAGCGTCCGTATGAGAACCCCATAGAAGAACACTAGAGCGGCAGTAAATCACAATCTTGCGAGCATTGAATACCTCTTTAACAACCGACACTTGATTCCGATACTCCCTCTCAAAGAGAGATGGTAGCACGGAATTCAGCCTTCCTCTTGACTGATGAAATAAATGGCGTGAAGTCTCTGGCATCTGGTTTCCGAGCAGCCTCTCCTAAAAGCCTTGTGGCAGTGTCACTCTCATCTGCGTCAGGTCCCAGCCAGATGGCGACAGACTTGGCCGAGCTGTAGATTCTGGTCATGAGCTGAATCTGCTGTCTTTTCTACAGAGTTTGTTGGTCAATGCTGAGTGTGTCCACCCATACGAGGACTGAGTCCTGCTGTTGTCGAAGTGCCCTCAAAGCGCCATGGAGGCTAGAAGAAACACAAATTTCTATGCCATCGAGTTCTAAGCGTTTGTTGTCTCCCGGATCCCCCCCGGGGTAAGATATAGCAACGAAGCTCGGTAGGCTTGTGATGGATCCGTGCAATATTTCGAGCTTTGTTTTGGAGGTCCTTGTCGAGAGAACTCTGATCAGATGGAATTAGTCTCTGCCGAGCTGTCTATAATTATAGACTTGGTCGCCGAAGCCTCGACGTGCGCTAGTAGAGCGCGGCTGCGTAATCAACGGTACATTCGTTACAAGACCGAATGCAACGTTGTTCCGGTACATAGGCCTCTTATTCTGGAGAGCGCGTGCTTCTGGAAACGGGCTATCGTAGCCAGACTCCACAGTTGTGGAAGGATACTTCTCTCTTTGAGATCTCACTTGTATGACTGTATGGCAGGTGACGGCGGTTGGGGTAGCGTCCTTTTCTTCTGCCGTAGTTCGCTGTCGGAATGGCAGCCCCGGATCGGGCGAGGAACCGAAAGACACCGGAAGTCATCTTCATGAGAGCCTTTGATGTTCCTGTCTGCCATTTTCGCAGGCTATTGCGGTTGCTATTCTACGATGATAACGAGTTGCGAAAGACACCAAGCTTTGGAAACGGGAAAGAAACCAAACGTCGCAAAGGAGGGGATCCAAATTGTGAGTGAGGCTGAGGATAATCATGCAAAGGCCAAATGAAAGGAGGGGGTGCGAAGCAGGTTCTATGGATTGATTCGGGTTTGACATGCGTAATATG